ACACACACACACACACACACACACACAGAGAGAGAGAGAGATAGAGAGAGACTTGCCATGTGTGCCATGTGTTGATAGAATCGCCTCAAAGAAGAGTCTGAGTGTCAGTCTTTGTTACGGCTGCGATTAATGACGAAAATGCAAAATCAGTGTTGTTTCTAATTCATCCTGACAGGCTTCATCAAAGGAGTCTTTCACCGTCTGTGGTTTAGGATGACAAGCAGGGTTAATGAGGTCAAATGGGATTCAAGGCTAATGCACAATGCACCCTTTTGTTGTTCTGCCATTCTAGGTTTTCATTTCAACATGTGAACACCAAAGGAAAAGCTGAGCCTCTCTTCTCCCCAAATGCGGCAACATCTAGTACTCTACTACGAACATACTTTAGAAAATCCTCTTAAAGCGGATGACACTGATCCAAAAAACCTACTGACCACCACTGCTTGGGAGGTGGGGGAGTGGGGGGACATCATAATATAAAAAAAGACAAGTGGTATAGTTCTGTAGTAATGAATTTATCAAGTTTTAGAAAAAAAATCAGCTTATTTATCTTTTTAAGTAGATGTCTAAGAACAACAGTACCATTAATTCTCTTTTGTGAGGACCTGGAAGTAACACATTTCCCAAAGAAGGGCCTTTTCTTTTCTCCAAAGAAAATCTTGACTTGCCATTATAAAACTAAAAGTATTCATCTAACTGTTCAAATATCCATTCTGCGTAATAGATCTAACAGTGTCTAACTGTTTTTTTCAAAGACCCACCTACCCCATAGATCAAGGCTTAATACGATTTTTTTAAGAACCCAGTTGGCACAACAGTCATGATACTTGTCTGTTTGTATTAATGGTAGTATGTATAAGCTAAGAAATAAATTACACCAAGGTGCAAAAATATTAATATCACAAAGGTATAACATTTTTGCCCCCAAAGTGTGGAAGCAAACAGAACAGCCTTAATGATGGTGCACATACACATTTTGTTCATTCTTAAAACACACACTGTCATGCCCAAAGTGATCAATAAAAAAGCAGAGTTACTTAACTTATTGACACTTGGCTGGTGTGTTTGTGACCATGTGATCATGCAGGTCACAAACAGCACCGCCATTTCTCCAAGTCAGTATCTCAGTTCTGGACACCCTCCTTTGTCCTTATGACTTTACATCATCCTCAGTCCAATATCAATCTTCTCTCCCCATCTTTGCAGGTCAGAATAAAATGACCCCCCTTTGACCCTTAATATCTTGATCCAAGGAAAACCGAGTAAACGATAAAAACGATAACAAAATAACGCTGAAAACCGATAAAAACCCAGAAAACCATACATTTCACACCTGAGCCTCAACTCTCGCGGCCCGGTACCAAACGACTTATGGACCGGTACTGGTCCGAGGCCCGGGGGTTGGGGACCGCTGCTGTAGAACACACAGTTATACACAGTTATTTCATTTAAATAGCTTTAACGTTACTAACATTTATTGTGAAAATGAAATAATAAAGTGACTCACTTTACCATTTCATGCTGCTAGTTCTGATTGCAGACATTTAATAAATGTCAATACAAGTCAGCAAACACAGAGTCCTGATGTAGAATTTAGACAGTCAAAGATAACAACAAACAAACAAACAAACAAACAAACAAACAAATAAAAAGAACAATAAAGCTTTTAGCTGATTTTCCTTGGCCACTTTACATGGAGCCCAATAATGAACCATTGATTTAATTTATAGTGAAAACAATGCGTGTCTGTGGTTCCCATTACCTAGAAGAATTATCTGACAGGGCCTCAAATAAAAAAATGTTTGATAGCATATGAAACATTTTGATATGTGAAAAAACAATGCATAACAGAGAAGATATCAGTCCAACCTGATGTCAATGTAATGACAGGACCCCTAACCTGATCCAGATTTCACATTAGCGCTGATTCCAGCTTCCCAAATCTGAGGATTTATAGCTTTTTATATCTATTTTACTGTCTTTGACTTTTAGACAGGTAGTTGGAGAAAGTCGGAAATCTGAAAACACATACTTGGAGTGTGGGAAAAATTGACAGGCTAAAGAAAATGAAAGAAAAATAATTAATAAATGTATCAAGAAAGTGTTTAGAAAGTTGATAAGCAGTGGCTATTATCATCTACTTACAACAAAAATTATACTATGCTAATAAGAGGGAACATACTAAGAAGACTTTCCACAACCTGCTATACCACTACTA